TGTGTGTGTGTGTGTGTGTGTGTGTGTGTGTGTGTGTGTGTGTAAAAGAATATATACTCTGCGCACAAAAGCATCGCTAATACCCCTCTTTACATTTTTAATACGTATATCATTAATATTTAAATTAAAAAAACAATAAAAAGACTACTGAAGGTCGCAAACAATGTGCAAGAATTGTAAAAAAAAACATTGCGAATTATTGGAGGCGCTGATTTTCAATTTTCGTTAATCCTTTCATTGTTTTTTTAATTTCGAGAGTACTTATTTTTATTTTATTAAAATTAAATTTATAATTGTTAAATTTTAATCTTTACCGTAATACTAGAATGCCATTTATAAAAGACGTTCATTGATGTAATTGTGAATGTTTATTGATGCATTATATTATTTACTACAAAAAATCATATGTCAAATCGCTGAGAGCACATTACGATTATGAGTCATCTCTGGTTTCCTTGAGCAAACTTTTCTGAATCTACTGAAATGTATGATAATATTACATTGAGTTACTTGTGATGTATTATAAAGACGCGATATTCAAGACGTTTAAGAATTGCAAAAGGCAAACTCTTGTAGAGATGTTATTTAAATTTTAATTGAATACTAAATGCTGTCTCTTACCAGCGTGTAGCTTTTTCTCTTCTTTTTCAGTCCAAAAAACGCTTCTACGATTTTTCCATTGACAAAGCACCGTTATTGCTTTCGGATCGGCGGTTCTGCACTGTTGCACAAGATGGATATATTGATCGATGATTTCTTGCCCTGTTAAAAAAAACGAAGATATTTTAAATGCGTCGCATATTACAGTTTGCATGTTGAAGAAGTATATAACTGGCCTTTCGAAACTCCGGCAAGGACTCGCGCCTTATCAGCATCGTTGCATAAATCGAGTTTGTTATACAATTCAAAGGATTTTTCCAAATGAAAGGTTGCAATATCTAGCCTCCTCTAAAAAGAATACAGACTTGTTTTTACATTGTTAACTCTCCAAGGAAATATTCTATTAATATTTTACGAATACTGATCAGGTATTACTTAGCGCGTATGTAATAATATGTATATATTTAAGGTAGATATATTGGCCCGTATTCAGAACGCGCTTTTATCAATAAATGTGCATTTTTATTTCTGAAATTCTAAGCAAGTCTGTATATGTAATATGAAATGTATATGCTAAATAGGCGCTATCGTTCTGATGAGCCATATTGTACAACATAAGAATTCAGGAAAATGTAATAATTTCTCACATAAGATATTCCTCAATAATCTTGTCATTTCTATCCCCTCTCCCTTTTTTGTTATCCAACATTTTACGATTCCATACCTTACTCAAAAAATGCTCGCCAGTGCAGTAATATGCCTGTGCCACTTTTCTCGTAAGTCCAGACTCGACTGCACTTACCACGAATAAACGGAGATACTTCTCCGTGTTTACATCGTCGTTCAATTCCTATAAATGTGAATCGCTCGTAAGAACTACGTCAAAAATTCACGTTTTTTCGAAATTAAGATCGCATAATAAATACGCGCATGTACGATGATAAAATATAGATAAAAAATTTTTTTAATTTTTTTATTCTCCACATTAATCATTCTACCGTGACACATAACTTGTACGCAAGTGCCATCGCCATGTGTGCGTTGCATATTCCCTCCGGGTCCGAAATTCTCTTAACCATCGCCAGGAATTTGGAGAAGTTTTGGAAGGCAAGTTTTACCTCGCCCGATCGCAACTGACTCATCCCCAGCTCGTACAGAACGTTCGCTATATATTCGCAATGTCCAGCTGCAGATGTGAGGCTGATTAATGATATCGTAGGACGAGATTTTTTTTTTATAATTTCAAGAAAATATGAATTTACTGATTATGAGACGAATTGATGCAGTAAAAATTTAATTTAACGTTTTTTTTTTCTTTTTTTTTAAACATCTTACAGTCCGTCGCTCGAGCGAGAGCTTCGGTGTATGCTTTCACAGCGACGTTCGGTTGATCGCAACTGACTTGTGCGTGCATCAGTAATACTTTGTACAAAAGCACGTTGCATTCTCGAAAAATGGTCTCTTCTTTTCGACCAGTTATCTTCGACGCATTCCATGACTTCTTCTGAGACGCTTCATGTGCGATATTTAAGTGATATAGCGATCCTGTCGTATCTTGTACTGATTGCACCGCGCGTATGTAATTGTATTGAAATAATACAATTAATGTATTAATAGAAATTGTATTGAAATAATACTAACTTGTAATGATCGGCTACGTTTAATAGAAGAAGTAACTTAATGAGCGCTTTACGTTAATTGGATTATACTTTTAGATCCGAAATGAGATAGAATTATTTTTATCGATATAAAAATATAATTCAATCATAGTGTTTGAGTTGCTTTTTCTGCTTAACGTAGCTATTAATTTATAATCTATTGCAAATATACCACGTATGTAAATATTTTATAAATAATAAATATTCAGCTGTGTGCATATTGAAACGATAGTATACTAATTGCGGAAAAAAACACCGAAACGATATGGCTATTTATGTAGAAAGTCAACAGGAAGTCGTGACTTGCCCGCCGAATCCGTCTATTTTCTAATTTGCATGTATAATGTGTTTCGCTAACTTTGCTCGAACAGAAATCGGCCGTACAGGTAGTGTACGAAAGTGCTCGTCTGATGGCTTTCATCTTCGATCAATTCAGCGTTCTCCAGAGCGCTACGGTAAAGCCGCTCCGCCACCCACCACCATTCCCAAGTCATTGTTTGAAAGGATAGCGCCATATTTAGAAATTCTGCAGCCGTAGAAATATAGTCTTCTATTCAGAAAATTTTTAATCGTAATACTCGTACTTTGTACATCGTACTTTTGTCTCAAATGTCAAAGATCGATGATATAGAAATTATCATACACGATTGTAATACCTCAATTGTTATTGAGAACAATGGTTTCGCTCTTGTGTTTTGCAAATGAATGTAACGTTAATGATTCTATCCGGAAAGGTTTTGTTATTGAAGTACTTAAAAATTTAGCCGGATGTAGATCTGAAAATAATTTTGTCCAATCATCAAAATAATTACATATGTAGAAAAGTCAAGCATGATGAGCAATGTTGCAAAAAAATTTTTTATATTCTAATAATTAACTTGAGCATTTTCCAACAAAATTATTATTCAAATTACTCAGAAAATTATTTCCAAAATTATGTCATTTATTGTTGATTATTTTTGTATCTGTATATATCTAGCTAAATTTTTTAATATTTCAACAAATCGTTCTTTCCGTATATACATCAATTTTCTTTCCCACCAGCATTTTTGGCTTGCTCGACAGTGATCAAGCCATCCCTTAAGCGCGACATTGCGTTCTTGTTCTTCTTTAAGCGCGGCTTCTCCCATATTAGAGTACCAGGACCAGCCTTCCCACGAATCTCCTTGTCGAGTTCGAATAATTCTTTTAAATATCGGATCGATTCCTCATAGTTGCCTTCTTCGAGCTCGTCAATGATCGCTTCGTGAGGTAGTAAATGGAATCTACTCGAAGATAGAGCAATATCGATTATAAAAGGACAAGTTTGATGGAACATTTATATTTTATTTACAATTCGGATAAAAAGAAGGAAGGGATAATTGAGATAAATGACGATATAAATAAGCATCGCGACAAGGCACCTCAAAAAACCAAAGAAAATTGAGGGAAAAAATAGAGGAGGTAATTCAGCCCACCTTCGATTTCAATATTAATAAAATTATTCTTGTAATAATTGCTATTATAATTTTTATTGTAATTGCATTATAATATATTAACATCTTTATAATATATGATGCTTGATGGTAGCATCAAATTATTAAATTGCTTGTCAATTTAATTCGCGATTACTAGAGTAGTTTTAATTGCGTTTATTTAGTCCGGAAAAACAATTCGGCGCGCAGTTGGAAAAAGACTACAATATGGTATATATGCAAGTACATATATATTAGTAATTCAAGATTGAATTATTTTAAAGCAACGAAGATCCAGCTTCGACCGTAATAGGCATTTAAATTTTTAGTTTATATTTCTCACATATACGGTCTAAAAATAAAAATATTGTTTATAATTACATTAATTATGCATTAATTATATTATTCGATACGTTTGTATGTGAAGCGAAAGAATCTTGTAGGGGAAAAAAAGAGTCGTTTTGAAAGAGAGGATATACTTTTTATTAAAAAAAAAAAAATAAAGCGACCTTCTCACTTCTGAAGGCGTCAATATCGGAAGCATCGCCTTCAATTCGTCCTTAACCTTCCCCATCTCCCCCGATCGAGCTCCCGCGAGAGTTTTGATCGTCGTTGCTTCTGTAATCTCGGGATTGGCTTTCGATAATTCTTCGGGAAAGCCCTTTCGAATCTGTCTCACGAGCGTTCCTAAGTCACGTCTTTGCACATCTTTGAGCCGGCCTTTCATTTCATTTCCCCCAGTCGCGTGATCGGGAACGAGGAATAGTCGGTTCTCAGGTTTTACGGCTCGATAAGTGTCGCAATTTATTGCACGAGATAAATATCAATGTAACCGATAAATGTATGTTATACAACGATGGGATCAGTAATATACAACATGTACATGTAACTTCACAGCGTTTGTTTTACGCTCGTGCGCGTACGAGATGCGATTCCTCGAAAAGGCCACCGCGAGATCGAGGCTCGAAATTCACGACTCGCTTCCTCGTCTCCGTGCTCCTAAATCCTCTACCCAACTACGCTATGAAGAGATACCGCTTTAAGCGGTGGCGGCTGCCTGCTTTCTCGGCACCAATTTGATCTTGAAACCCTCCGCGCGCTTGAGAATGATGTCGGCCTGAAGTCTGAAATCGGACTCTTTGATGTCTGACTTGACGCGGTAGTTCCTCATGATCGTAGACAGGATGATCTTCAGCTTCAGCATGGCATATTTGCGGCCTACGCAGGAACGCGGTCCAGCCGAGAACGGCACGAAGGCATAATAATGTCGATTGACGGTCTTTTCCGGTAGAAAGTTATCGGGGTTGAAAACTTCCGGATTCGAATAGATGTGTGGCTGCCGGTGCATCTTGAAGGTCGTTACTATCACCGTGGCCCCAGCTGGGATTGTATAGTCTCCCGATGCTGCAACGGCAATCATAATTTTTTTAGAAGTACAATAAATTATTTAATCAAAGAAGTTGATAATGCACACTTTATCTTGTCTTCTTTTCATGTAGATATTCCAGTTTTAAGAACTCACCCAATTTCAAGTCTGTTTTGATGGTACGCGCGATGATGGGCACAGGTGGGTACATGCGAAGAGTCTCCATGAGGCATCGCTCGAGGTATTTCATCTCCAGGGTGTCCTGGAAGGTCGCAGGTCTGTCGCTGTCGCCAAAGATTTCATCGAGTTCTTGGATAACTTTTTCTTGAATATCCGGGTGACAGCCCATTACCGACAAGAAGAAGCTAGATGCAGCCGCGGTCGTGTCATGTCCCTATGAAAATGAATGACAGGACAGACAGCTTATTAATTAGAATCGATCCTCTCAAAGTAATCAGGCTAATATTTATAGTCCGTTCTTATTTCAAGATCATCTTAAATAATGTCTTGTGATTCCAATGCGTCTCTCTGATTGATTCATGATATCTTAAGCCAGTCTTAAATATAAGAATCGAATATGAATATCAGCCTTAGTCATATCTCGCGACGTCTACCTCGAACATAATAGTATCGACCTGTTCCTTGACTTCTTCATCTGTCAGCACAGTACCGTTCTGACCGGCCTCCATCAACAAATCGAGGAAAGCTTGCCTCTTTTTCTCACCAACGTCATTATCTTCTACATCGAGGTCGTCTTTTAGACCAGCCGCCTGTCCGAAGGAAAGTCCTTCTACAGATGTGCTCTAAGGACAATATATTATGTGTTAATAGTCCATCGCTTAATGTAGCTTCTTCTGAAAATTATCCAACTTGAAAATTATCTACTTTGGTGGTCTTGTCGTTGCTATTTTGGGTAGACTCGTCAATAATATTGCGTTTGCCATTCTTGAATTCCTGCTTCTTGCGTGCGATAACTTTCTTTGTGAGTCCGTGGATGATGTCTAACAAACGGATCTGATCTTTTCCGTATTTCGTGAGATTGAACAGCCAGTCCGGTCTGAGCCAGACTTTCGTGTGACGCAGATGGAGAATATCGCACATCCTACAAAACGATAAGTCAATAACGAGGTATCCGTCTTGTATATTTCTTCAACATGAAAATATTCAAATATTTCAAGGAATAAAAATTGCATGAAAATTTTACAACATGGAAACTTGTTGATAACGTTCTTTTACAAATCTAAATTTCTAAAAAAAGAAAATTCCAAGATCTTATAAATTCAAAATATTTTAACCACAAGAAAAAGTCAAGACCTAGCTGAGAACATGTTAATCGGAGAATTTTCAATTAAAATCAATTAAAAATAAACTGATAATAACAACTCCCGATGTCTTTCTTTTTTGTTTCGATTTTCAAATTCATCAAATCGGGAATTTGCATATAATTGGATACTTGCTTCATAACAGCCATGGCATATTCGAAGCCGCTTCGGTCTTGCGTGGACTTGGAGACACCCATGGCAGTCTCGAGAAGGATCTCGACGGTGCACTCGGACATGTAGTCGTGGCAGTCGAATTCCTTGTCCTCTTCCTTACGCATTCGTTCCACCACCGCACGCGAATTGGCGTTAAAGAGATCGATGAAACTCTTAAGTACATTTAAGTGAAATGTCGGCGCGATTAATTTGCGATGAGCGCGCCATTTTGAACCTGTAATAAATCACTTATTATCAATTTGTTTTTTATAAATAACAAAATTCCCCATTTCTTTGCTGCGATCGAATCTGAAGTGATTCATCCTGAATATTTCCAGCGAATTATCATGATCGCGAGACGAATTAAAATACATTATCTAACCCAAAAGTAATCACTTCATTTTTTTTATATAAACGATCACCTGTGATGTTTTTATAATACTAAAGTTTGCATTTAATTAATAATTTTCGTTTCTAATTATATTACGTGCGATCTGTTATTATACTTGTTAAAATATAAAAATTCTGTCGTGACGAACACATGTGATAAAACATACAAAAATTGGACAGACAATATGTATTAACTAATGTTATATCAGTGATATTAACAGTGGAATAAAATTCGAAGAGAAGAAAGAGAAAGAGTTATATATTTCATGGAGATGTATGTAAATTTAACGTAAATTTCCACCCCCCTTCCCCATCCCTGTTGTATTCGATGCCCGTGTTTGAAGACTTTCTATCGAACACACGGAAGTAGGAAGAAGAATGAGCGGGGGAGAAAGAGTCAGGGAGTGAGAGAAAGAGCAAGGATAATACATTACAACGTGTGGGAGAGACAGAAGGTCTATACTTTATGACTGTAAATATTTGAGTACACTTATACTTTTGAACTGAAATAGACATTCAGAAAGAATAATTTTGCTAAAGTATCTAAAAATTTAGTTAGATCTGAAAATAATATTGTTGAACTCAAAATAATTACATGTTTGAGGAATCTCAAACATGATGAGCAATGTTGCAAAAAGTTTTGACATTTCAACAATCAGTTTGAGAGTTTTGCATAATTATTCTGATAATCCAACAAAATTATTTTCAGATCCGTTGTATCTTATTAAATTTAATTTTTTAATTTTTTTACCTCAACAAAACCGTCCTTTCTGAGCATGTATTTGACCTAATATTAATACAAATACAGGCAAATAAGAGCTAGAACCCCGTTATTATTTGTCTATTCTAATTATACAAATAATAACGATGTTCTAACTCTTATTTGCCTGTATTTATATTAATATTAGTTTGTTTATTGAGAGCTCTTTTTATTATTATTCGTATATTTGAAGTTTGGCGAAAGCAAGATAGAAAGTACAGTCTAGTGCAGCGACAAAGAACAAACCCGGAGAGACAGAGATCGTCGTAATTGTGCAACGAGAGGAAAGACTGCGATGCGCGCATATGCGCGCGGGGAAACGGAGCTAGGGAGAGAAAGCACCGACGCGCGTGCAAATTTCCTTCCTGTTTTGTGTCCCGTGGATTACTCGGACTGATTGCATTTCACTCTCCATCCCTCTCTCCCCCGCGTTGCTCTTTCTAAATGCAAGTGCGTTGTCGTGCGACACATGCCACGCGCATAGGCGTCGAGACTCTCCAGATATTAGAAATATGAAGAGAAGAAAGAGAAAGATAAAATCGTAATAAGAGAAGATCAAGATAACATTAAGTTAAAATAATTTCATAAAAAATTCTAATGATATCATTCGATACATTTTTCACGATAACTTTGTGATGAATCAATGAATTTTTAACATGATAATAATTTTTAATTAAAAAATCATTATCATGTCAATAAGTGATATTTTAGTTAAAAATTATTTCTCGTGTTATATATCGGAACATATCACGAGATGCTTTGTATTTGATTGTTACGTAAAAAAATACATGGAACAAATCTGTTGATCTTAAAGTTACGGTTGTATAATAAATTAATATGATACACTATTCAAAGATTCTTTATCATTACACCATAAATAAAACCTATCAATATTCATAAGACATTCATTCCCATTCTTATTTCAAAACTATCTTATGTAAACTATATTAAGCTTAAGAATAGTTTATTTAATTAAGTAAATCAACTAGATACAAACATCGAGTTAATATTTTTCGCAATAAGTTCTTTACAGGTTTTCAGATGCTAATAGCATCAAATCAAAGCTCCGATTAAATTTGGGGAATTATTAATATTTAATATTGATTGTATTAAAAGATTGAAAATAATCAGCGCGTAGTCATTTCTGAGATAAATTTATTTAGAAATACATATATACGTGTTAGTCTGATATCTAACTTTGACTGTATATCGACGCTTTTTTATCTTAAGTAATTTTAAGATACTAATATAGCTTTATACATAATATGATTGTATTTAAGATATATTTTAATATATTGTATTTAAAACAGTCTTAAATAAAAAAAAACTATACCGATGAGAGTCTGTTCTCACTAGTTTAAATAATTATTTTATGTAATATCCTGGTAAAAAATTTTTCATGTATGAATATGTATAAATATGTATAAACATACATAAATACGCATAAATATTCATAAACACGTATAATTATATATGAAATATGTCCATATACATCCTTCTTTCTTTTATAAAATTACTTTTTAGTGTAATAGAAATAATAATATTAATGTGAAAACATAAAAAAATAATTAATGGGATAATTTTCGCATTATTTGTTTTAGAAAAAAACCAGTTTAGAAAAATATAAAAAAAATTGCTCGTACATAATTAGGGTAATTGGCCATAGTTTTTCAAAATGCAAAAACCATACATTTATTCTTGTTAATTTTTAACAATATTTGGGATATTACTTTCACTGAAGCTTAAAGTAA